TCTTGGTGCGTTAATAGCTTACGCAGGATCCGACTTGTCAATCGCTAGTTGAACCTCCTTGATCCTGTCGACTGCCTAGACTCTTTATTAGTTGCATTGCCCTCGATTGTGATACCACTCACCAATTGAGCCGCCTTGCGTAATCCCTTAATGATAATGTGTGGACTAACACCCTCCTCGATATATGAACGCGACTCTTTCAGAATCTGGGCCGCTAAAAGTACAACACTGGTCGTCCCATCACCGACCTCGGCGTCTTGGGCCCGCGCAATATCGACTAGAGTTTTTGCAGCCGGATGAACGATATCCAGTAGTTTGAGAATAGTTGCGCCGTCGTTGGTAATCTGGGCCTCTCCTCGTTCATTTACGATCAATTTGTCCATTCCACGAGGACCCAAGGTGGACGAAAGTGTGTCGGCCACAGCGAGGCATGCAGAAATATTAGAGAGCAGTTGACCTTTGCCCTGGGACGTGTCTGTGCCTTCTTTGAGAAGGATCACAGTCGGTTGCTAGCGGTCAAAGTGAGCTATTTATAACCTATTGTAGTGTGCTACTCACCATGGGTAGACCTCGTTGCATCGTGATACTGTTGGGTATGGGGATGGAAGCGAGGCAGAACGCGTATCCAAAAAGCCAGCTGACCAATTGAGGATCAACCCTGGCGTAAGCGCCGGACTGACGCGTGTTCGCGCCAACTTGTCGCCTCGACTTGGTTCAGCTCTTCAAAATGCCCCCCAAACGAAAAGCGCAAGCTGAATCCGATGCTGAAGCTTCGGCTGTGGAGGAAACAGCTGCTACGTCAAAGCCATCGTCTAGTTCTAGAATTATTGTTCCGGTGCCCGAGAAACAAACCGACGCCGATGGAAACACTTATTTTGAGGTATGTTTTGAGGTTTACGAGGCAGGGATTTCTATGTATTTTGGCGATAGATCAGCGGAAAACGCCGCGTAACGGTGCGAACGTTCAATGGGATGAAGTTGGTTGACATCCGTGAGGTGAGCAGTTTATTGGTTTAATACGTCTCAAGCTCTCATTCCGCCACAGATGTATGCCGACAAAGCCACAGGGGAGCTTAAACCGGGCAGAAAAGGAATATCATTGGCAGAAGAGCAGGTAAGTACCACCAACTCATTAAGTTCACTCGACTAAAGTAGGGTTAGTTTATGGGTCTTGTGAGCGTTCATAGCGCGATTACCGAGGCCTTGAACGCGCTGGACACTGGAGCTTCCGGTTCGGGGGACAAGAAGGCGGCAAAAACCGCCAAGACCAAGTATGTATTTACCACCTCACGATGGTCCGTAACTTACACATTAGTTATAGGGCCACTGCAAAACCGGCCTCGAAAACAGCATCCAAAAAGAAAGCACGTAAAGCGGAGAGTGACGATGACGACGACGAATAATGCACTGTTGATACAATACAGATATACCCTTACTTGAACATCGTTTCGCACTATTTCGATTCATATAACTTACCCACTCGTGTGATTCTGGCTACTTTTTATTCTGGTTCTTGACTGCTTCTAAGCCTTCCTGCCTCCATTCCCTCGACTCCCATGCGTCGTACTCTTCACGATTATCCACCCACCTAGACAACGAGTTAAAACGGGCAGTAAGCGAGTTGCTCTTCGCACCTCTCTTGTATGTCCTGGATACTGTGTCCTGGTATTGCACCCATGGCCGACGAGAAAATAGCGTCTTGATTTGGTCGCGCGGTTCCTTTCAGTTGGTCGCCTTTTTCCTCTGACGATGGCTTGGGAACAAATACGTAGCCAAGCGCTCGGTCAATGGTTCGCATGAGATGCAACATCGATTTCTTGTCCTACAGACCAGTGAGCACAATACAATTGTCAAGAAAAAACCTCACCTCGACTGCGAGGGTCTCGAAAGCTACAAGCCCATAGTCTTCAACCAAGTTACAAATAGCTTCGTTGAGCGCTGAGAATCGTGGGTGTGAGGTGGAAAGGAGGTTATGGAGATAAGACAAGTCTTGAACTTCAGTGTAGAAATCGAGGTTAAAATCTAGGCAGTGTGGGTAAGTGCAAGGACAGACCGGCCAAATGTACCACTCACCAAGGTCGCCATATCTCGATAGCAGGTCAATTTTCGATAAAACATTTATATGCGGCAGCCCCATATGCAGCATCGTTCTTAACGAGAGGAGCAACACCGACACGTACTTTGCCGCATCAGTGACATAGTACGCATCGCAAAGATGCACGGCGGCGAGCTGGACTTCATCACCTATCAGTTGCGAACCTACACACATCCGTGATATACGCACCCGAAACCCAACCTTTTCCAATTTCCCAATGATATTCTTCAAACTCGTATGGTCCGAGCTGAGCTCCACCTGTCCCGGGACGTCAAATACTACATAGGCATCTCCCGCCAAAAGTCCAGCCACACGAAGTTGCTCCTCGAGCCAATCAAAGTTCGCTTCGAGGTGCTCCATGCAATAGAGCATGCCGCCGTTTGGACCCAGGCCGTGTTCCTCCATGGCGTCTTGAAGGGAAATGAGAGATGCTATATCAATTGCGCATTGGTAGGGTACTCTGTCGTTGGCGGGGTCAAGGTTTACGACTGCGATAGGACGTTCCAGAGCCGTCAAAAGCTGAGTGGGGTAAGAAAAGGGAGTTGACATTGTAATGAAAACCATACCTGTTGCTTTCCAAAGGCATACGTGGATTTACCGCTTCCCGGAGAGCCTATTATAACTTCTCCGAACGGCATCAAGGCTGTGGGGAAGTCAATGAGTTACACACGAATTACCAACCTATGGCGGGAAGGCCCTGTGTCACGTGACTCAGCGCCTGTGTCTCCGACCTCTGCAGCGGCTCATCCCCTCCTGGCCTTGCAAGTCTTCCTTCCACTTACCCTCAAGCAGCTTGACTTTGTAACCATGTAATCTGCTAAATATATATTCTGGGGGAAAGTGGGGGGTTACGTGGGTATATGTGTCCCATACCCTCCGACAAGCTTCCTTGGCTCAGTTGGTAGAGCGTTGGTCTCATAAGTTATGAGTAATCCCCCTTGATTACGTAATCCAAAGGTCGTGAGTTCGAGCCTCACAGGGAGCAGCCCGTTTTTTTGCTCTTAGCATCGGTGATAACATCCAGAAAGCCATAGGTTTTACCCGCATATATTCAAGTTAACTCAATATATGCTTGATAGACCGATCTGTGGCTGGTAGATCTGGAATAAGCCATGGCCACCAAATGTCCCACTAGATAGAATTGGAGTCCAGCCAGTTCACCAAATTATTTATTAGTGTTGGTTCCATGGAACATGGACTGGGGCAAATAAAGATTCCCCGGATCTTGTGGCCCAGTTCCGGCGCCTACCGGCCACTTTGTGAGTGCTTTGATGGTTTTCCCGAATTAGGAATTCGGCCTGCTTGGACCAGAGCCTAGTCTTGGCACCTGTGCCTCATTGGATCCGGGGCCTAAGAGGCCGGGGAGAACCCGGATTCGTCCCCAGCCTGGGGGGCGTGAAATCGATGGTTTTGCTTTACCGTCGGTACGACCGTGCGTACCGTGTCCTCTACCGTCCATCCCACCGTCCACCTGAGCTCCAAGCCCCCCAGCGCGCTTAGGCTCCTTGCCGACGCGCCGAGGTGTTGTCAGCAAGGCGCACGTGCCATTCCCGAATACCGCCCACCCAAGCCCGACGCAACCCCTGTTTATCAGCTAGGACCCCGCGCCACCGTCCTGCAGCCCGGCGCTTGCTTATCTTCTTATCTTTCTTCATCTTGTATCTTACCGTGAATATATCACATGCACCTCCGCCGCCTGGTCGCTGTTTGCCCCGCCATCCATGTTTGTCCCGCCGGCGATATTTGTCCCGCCATCAATGTTTGTCCCGCGCCTCTCTGTTTGTCCCGCCGTGAATGTTTGCCCCTCCCTCCGCCGTCTCTCTGTCTGTCTTTGCCGTTCACTTGAGTCCATCTCCCTTTTTGACCCCATATCCTCGGGTCTATCATATGCTGGGCATTTTGTCTATCTTGTAGGTTGTCCATTAACGTTCATCTATCACATTTACGTGTTCCCGCGAGATGATATTAGCACTGCTTGGGCTTGGCGCATATTGCGGCGGAGCTAATCTTTACTATCACAAATAGTCTGAGACCATCTGTATATCAACACAGTGTGGTTTTCGCCGTCGTATTTAAAGGCGCTGGTCACGTGCCACTGTTCACAACCATTGCCAGCCAGGATACTCTGTGTGCCGCGCCCGTGTATTCTTTGTGTGTTCACAATACTTGTTGTCACTTAGAATATGTACAGTAAATATTTGCACTACACAGTGCACCGACAACCTCATCCGAGATTGGCGTTGGTTGGGGCGGGGACACGTGATGTGCTGAATGACTGCAAAGTCGCGCTGTTTGATGCCAGTATTGTTGTGGATGTGAGTGGGGAGCGAAATATATATTTGGGAGATCAAAGATTACAAGATAGTCGCAGACAAATTTATTCACGCATCGGGAGCTGCAAACTCCGACGGCGTTGGAATCCTGCCACCCAGCTCAGGCGTCCCAAGGGCGGGGGAATGCAGGTCACTAAAGCCCCACTCGCCTTGGCTAAATGTATGCTGCTCTTCCGGGTTATATTGGCCAAACCAGTGGGTCGGCGGACCAAAGCCAAGCGGCGGTGGCGTAGGCGAATATGAGAAGGGATTGCCAGTGCCGGGGATGCCGTTCGTCAACGAGGGGAATGCCATTCCAGTGGGCAACGCAGCAAGCGGCGAAGCAGTCGCAGGCGTGTGAGCTTTATTCGGGCGAGTACGACGGGCAGGGCTGCCGGAGCGTGAAGATGGACTAGTTGAACGCGAAGGCGGCCGACCAGAGGACATTGAGTCCGGAGTGTGATTGATAAACAGGCGATCCCCACCGTTAGGATATGCCCTCCTACCACGCGACGGCGAGCCTTGAGAGGGATTGGGCGCACTCTGATTGTGCCCAGCCTGCGTCGGAACACGATGGAGGAGAAAGTTTGGCGATGACGGGGGAGCAGAGTCCGTTACAGTGGAGGGAGTGGGTGGGGTCGCCGGCCTGCGATTAATAACAATTGTGAGGTGCTCGTCGAGAGGAGGTGAATCTGGAACGGCTCCAAAATAGTCGATATTCGCACCGGTCTGGGTTGACGGTGGCAAAGACAGCCCGAGCAGAGGCGGAGGTTGTGCAAGAGCACCCGAGTCGTTATTGCTGTGGTCGCCCGCTGGTCCCGTGTCGGCTGCTGGTACCTCAGAGCCACTTGCTTCCGCAGGAGCGTCAGAGGCTGTTTCAGCGTCGTTAGCCACCCTCTTCCGCTTTGATTTCGCCTTCTCCTTCGATTTTGAGTTCGCTTTGCCGTGTTCCTTACGAGGCTAAACATTGTAAGTCAATGTTCACAAAACGTTCAGCTAAGCTCACCTTTTTAGAGTTTGGCTGTTGTTCGGTGCTCGGATTTGCGCGTTTGCGCGATCGTTTCGGTGGAAGAACAGGATCGATCTCGTCACGTGCTTTCTTCCGCGCTTCCCACTCGGCGTTGGTTATGCGCCGAAAACCCGCCTTGCCGTGCTCGATCCAGTTGAGATAAGTGTTAAGTGTGTTATACCCTCCAACGTTACTGGGGTCTACCATCTTGTCCTCGTCCATCGGCCAGTTGAAAACTTCAACTTTGTACTGCCTAACGGTGTTGATGTAATCCGAGTACGAAATCGACGAGATTAACAATGGATTAGTGATGGTGGGCTCGGAACCGTCGCTGCCTATTGACGTAGCCGCGGTACCTAATAATAGGAGCTAAATTAACACTTTATGCGATAGAAATATGCATATCATGTACTTACGCAAAGATTCTAGGAGCGCTACGCGTACCTTGGATTTGACGACTTGTGTTTCAGTGCGATGACGGTTTGCAACCGCTGTAATGTTTGGATTGAGTTGTATGCAACGTGAACACAGCAAAATTCTGCACGCACCGGGCGCTCCCCCAATCGCAGAGCATTCAAACAGCGTGACGAAATGGTCAGCGTCAATTTTGAGGTGGCTTTCCAGGTACGTTCTAGCCCTAGCCGAACTCAAGTAGACGGGGAGCATGCCGTCTTTGTCGCTACCTCGCACAGCAATTATCATCCCCTCGATGCCGGTGACCTCATGTAGATGCAAAAGCTACTGGAATTAGCTGCTGTGTGACGATGAAGTAAAAGCACCCACTCGTTGGCCCATTGACTCCAATTCCGCAAATACGTTGCCCAGTGTCTTTCGCTGGGTTGCTGTGCTAGAGGAGCCAACACTAAGCTTCGAATCCCGGAGGTTTTGAGTAATTTTGACGTAGCGAGCTTCGTCTGCTTCAGACATCCGCTCGTATAGCCCTTCATTCTTGATGCGGTCGACGACATACTGAATATATTTCCCGCCAGAGAATTCACCTAAGATCGACAGCATAACTAAATCATGGATTTTTAGATGAGAAACGTACTCACTCTTCATGTCTGCCCACTCTTTAGATTTCTCGTGCACCAATCCGTTCCATGCTGTTGGCTTGGCGTGAAGGTGTGCCGTACTATTAGCCAGGAACAGTCTGCGCAACCCCTCTACCTCGCAATCCAGCTCTTCCGCCGCGGCTTCAATCATTTCGTGCGATTTGGCCACAAGTTTAACGAGAGCAGCGTTGATCTTGTCTGCCTTTTCTTGTCGGAGAGCTCTCTGTGCCTGGTGGCGCGCTTTCGCCTCCTCGGTACTTAGTCGGGCCATGCGAAGTGCAGGTAGTACGCAGCAGCGAGGAGAGGGGGAGCAGATATCGAATGCAGACCTCAAGGGGTGAGTAAAGCGCAAAAATTGGCTACTTTACTCCTGCAATCTAATCATATCGTATGAAAACAAGGTGAAACGTTGAGTTTAAACCCCGAACTTTCATGTTTGCACGCGCATATATAGACTCGCAACAATGGGAAATGGCGTGGGGACTCATATAACATTCCATGTAACAAACATTCAATACCAGCTCTCCGTGGAGGTTGATTGGCGGGGGGAACTATCCTCCCTCTCAAACATATTGTACTCAAGTTGTCGAACTGCCAATGGTGTCAATAATACATCCCCAAGGTATAATTCATAATACTTACTGTGTGCTCGAAGCTTTGTTTGAAGCTCGTACGCTACGTCAAGCTCGAAGGCTGGGGTCCCACCGCTCGATGCTTGAAAACTATGAAAGCGACGAGTAGCCTCTTCGGCTACACCATGCCTACGTAGCACATTGGCCTGAAGATTTGTTCAGCAGCGACTATAAACATCAAATTTAAATACTTACGACGCTACCTTTGGTGAGCAGACGGTGTGGGCGGGGGCTTTGGTGTTGAGCTGCTGGCCAAACCGGCTCTTTCGGAAAGCTTGGTGCTGGCTGTGTAACTGGAGAAGTAAGGATGTAGGAGGATGTGCCGTGCGCATGCTGATAGTTGTTCTGAGATGCTTGCAAAGATTGCGAAGCATACGCGGCTCCAGCAATCGACGAGCAGGGGGGAGTGGGAGTGTGAGCGGGAGTCGGGGCAGGAGTGGGGGAGGCCAAGAGAATTGAACGCGAAAGTGGAACCTGGCTAGCGTGATCGTCAATCGCCTTCTGAAGCTCCTCGCCAATCATTATATCCTCGCGACCAGCGAATATATCCTCGAGCATTTTCTGAAACTCCCCAACGTTATTAGAGGTTGCAACTAAGTGAGGTGACGTCAATTACTAGGCATAGTAGCTGGAATAATCACTCACGAAGTGTTTTAAACGATTCAGAGTGGTTAAGTGTCCACTCAGCTTCGGTTCTGGTGTAAACTTTAGCGAAAGAACAGGAATTTCCCGGCGCTTTTTGAATACGCTTGATATTGCCACTAGTGGGACGTTTCTCAGCAGCACAAACCTATAGGTCAAGCAGCAGGCACTTACTAATCTTTCCAACAGCCGCGGTAAAGGCCCTTGAAGACACAGTACAACGGAAACGTTGTGAATGGACTGGTGAGATCTTCGGGCTCACTAACCGTGACACTTCGTTGCATCTTGCTTAGCACTAAAGAAATGTGTCAGTACACCGGTATGAACTGCTCTGAACG